CACCAATTCCTGCAACTGAACTTTCAATTCCCTTAACTCAGCGGGAGCCATACGATAAGGAGTCAAAGAAATAGGATTAGTACCTGGAAGCAACTCAATAGTGAACTCCAAATCTCGATCTGGCGGTAAACCAGGCAAATCCTCGGGGAAAACATCGGGAAAGTGTCTGACTACCCTCACATCCTCAACTCTGCTGGGAACGGACTCATCTAACACCACATGAGCTAGGTACCCCTGGCAACCTTTAGACAACAACCTTTTAGCTCTCACAGCAGAGATAACGCCATGTCTCACCCCACTCTGCTCACCCACGAAAGTAACCACGGGTAGTCCAGGACGACGAAACGTAACTATTTTCCTGTAGCAATCAATATTGGCACGGTTGGGGTGCAACCAATCCGCGCCTAAAATCACATCAAAATCAACAATATCTAACGGGATAAGATCAGCTGGCATAACAATACCCTCAACTATCACTGGACACCCCGGGTACACCCGATCTACAATACATCTCTCTCCTCTAGGCATAGCGAACTCTAAATCGTACCCTAGAGGTGTGGGGCGAGGTTGTGTCACTTGAGAAAATGTATGAGAAATCACTGAATGAGTAGCTCCGCAATCAATTAATACTCTAGCAAAATAACCAAGAATGTTTAACGTACCCATAATCAAATCCGGGTTGTTCTGAGCATCCTGCAGAGAAATGTTGTGAATACGCCCCTAGGTCTGCTGTCATCCCCCGCGACCTCTGCTCGTCGGACCACCGCGACTCTGAGTACCACGCCCCTGACTAGGCTGGCCAGACTGCCTCGAAGACCCCGCACTACTCGAAGCAATCTCTCCTTGGTGAAACTGTCTTCCCTGAAACCACTGAGAACCGTCCACTGGAGCTGGAGGATACGGCATATAGCCGCTAGAGTACTGAGGATAACCACCCTGGGAATGGGGGTCCTGGGGATACTGATACTGTCCGGGGGCATACGGAACAGCATCACCCTGATAGTGATAGGCACCACCTCGACCTGCCTACCCATAACTACTCGGACCTTGAATCTGCTGGATAGGTGCAGGTGCCGGCAAGAAAGTCTGCTGCGGCTTCTGCTGCTGACTCTGGGGGCATTGCGCAGCTCGATGTCCCATCTGCCCACAAGTAAAACAACCACTGCTGCCACGCCTACACTCACCCAAGTGTCGACTATTACACCTACGGCAAAGTAGGGCCCTACCTCGGCCACCATCGCCCTGTCTCTAGCCCCGAGCACCACCAGCAAACCTACCTCCACGTCCGTGACCAGTGGCGCTGAAACCACCGCTAGAAGAACTAGAACTAGTACCACCCCTCTTGAAATTCTGGGTCTGACGAGGCCCGAGCGACGTTTGACCTTTACCCTTAACATCTTTCTTTTGATTACCGTTCTTCTCTTCTTCATCACTCTCGCTCGTCTGGTTCTCAGAATCCTCAACTCTCAGAAGAACCTCGTAGAAATCCTGGTAAGTATCACAGTGAGTAGTAGTCGCCATCGAACGCCATTTCTTCCTATTACCTAAGCGGAAACGACGAAGCATCTCCGCCGGATTACCAGCAATCTCCGGATGATAGCGAGACAAGTCAGTGAACTTCTGATAGTACTCATTCGCTGTCATCTTCCTCTGTTTCAACTCAGTAAATTCCTGCTTCTTACGATCGATGTACTCAGGGGCACAAACCTTCTTTTGAACAAAGCAATGAAAACATTCCAATCCGTCTTCTGAGCTGGAGTCAAACGACGAAGTTCCTGCTCCCACCATGCTGCAGACTCCGTACCCAGAAACCATGAGGTTGTCTCAACCCATCTCTCGACTGGAAGATTCCCCTGATTATTCAGAACACGAAAAGTCTTCTCGATGTGCTCTAACCAACGCTCTGCGCCCTCGTGCCCCTCATTACCCTGGAACTTATCCAGTTTCAGATTGTACATAGTCTCCAGAGGAGTCCTCTAGGGAGGGCGAATCGCCGACTGGATGGCGGTAGCAATAGCTTCCCCCAGCTGAGCAATATCGGGGAAACTAGGCTCATCAGAGCGACGTGGTTCCTGACGAGGCGGCATAGTTCTGACAGAAGGCACCAAAATCATTAGAATACTCACAAAAGACACAGGACTGCCAAACCTAAGCTCTGATACCAAACTGACACACCCCGACAGAGATCAGGGCGTGCTGGCCGTCACGTGGAAGTGACGTAGCCATGTGCACAGTGCGGAAGCTAATAGAAAAGTAATAATATAAAAGTACAAGTAATTAAAAACTAGCATACAAGGTCAAAGTAAGTGTGCTAGCGTAAAAGAGACGCTAAGTTCAGAGCAATAAGCCTACAGCAGTCCAAATTAAAATGATGCGACAACAGTGCACCCGAAAGTGACCCTACATTGGTGAGTGTCTGTCAGAAATGCCGGGACGCCCTCTGGGAAAACCACCGAACCTGCTAGACCACTAGAACCTAGAGGGGCGCAAAACAAAAGCGTGAGTGGGCAAAACAAAGTTCTTTGAAAACCATTTCAAAAACAATATTCTAACCCCTCGCTGTAAAACCTGTATACTTCCCAGAAAATAAACATATACACGTACTTATAAATATGCCAATCATGCTCAAAGGTATGCCATGTCAAAGCCTCATAATGATATGCAAGTGCTCAGGTATAAATCATATCAATAACATATCACTGGCAGCCGGAGTCCCCTAAAGTGACCTGTGCGGCTGAATCTAGAGCTCCAATCTCAATCTCAATCACTAAACCTGCCCACGAGTCGGAACCACCTATAGTGGTCTGTACGACAGGCCTGGGTGTAAATACATATAAACGCTCTAGTGCTACGATCACGTGAAGGCTGTGCGAATCATCACGGGTCACCTACGAGTCGGAACCACCTATAGTGGTCTGTACGATAGGACTGTGCACCTAACTTGGATCCAAGCTGAGCGTGTGGTGCGGGAGGTGAACATCACGTGAAGGACTGTGCCCTACTCTGGGCGGGAGCACTAACACCGGGGGTGCAGGTTATGAGCTCTCTATGTATCTCAAATCACTACTAAACATAAATGTAAATCACCACTCACCTGGCACTTACCTGTGCGTCCATAGCACCAATACATACATACATATATATAAATGCAACTAATCATGCATAATAACCGACAATAACATAAAAGGAATGGCATATAACGAATAAGCATTTATATAAATTTCTGGGAATTATATGTATATAGGTATATATGGAAAACCAAAAGCCCACTCACTGGTATGTGGAAGGGTCGTAGCCCCCCTGCCTCGAGTGAGCACGCTTGTCGTCGGGATACGTATCACCTATATGCAAAAATACTATAAAAACGTTAATTTTAAAGCACATAACCTTCCGTTCAAAATAACTTCTCATACATTGCTCAAAATGGACAATTGAATATACCAACGTGCTCTACACAACCTCAGGATCACAACCATATTTTTAGAAAAATTTTCCACTGCCGCACGCACCGGCCACGCGCAGGCACGTGCCTGGCACGCTGACGGCGTCAACTGACGCCGTTAGGAATATTCCGTCAGGTTTGATAGATTCCGTTAACGGCGTCAGGAATATTCCGTCAGAATTGACGGAATATTCCGTCACCTTCTCCGGCGAGTCTCCGTCGACGTCGCCGGCGCCGGAAACTGGGAAAACCTGCAACTCGAGTTTTCTCGTTCATTTTTCAACCCTTTTTCATGATTCTAACACCAAAATGAAGTCCTAAACTAGTAGAACACGTCCAAACAAATTTTAAGGGCTAAAACCTACGAAAACTCACCTGTCACCAACCTCCAAAACCGGTCAAGCTCGAACCAGGCGATTCCAACGTCCAATTTCGTCCAACGAAGCACTCCGAGGCTCCTGGGAACCTCACTAAGACATCTATGAACTTCAAAATTCCAAAAACATGCTAGATCAATGTTTGCATGAACAGTACACAAATCTGCCATTGTCGAATCGACGTGAAAACAACAGATTTCATACCTGAAAATGGTATGATCGTGCTCCCCTTGACCTCACGACCTCGACTGTGCCTTAGTTTCTTCGATCTGTGATGGTTTAGTGTAGTTATGTGTGTGTCAGTACGAGTTCGAAGAAAGAAGAAGAAGAGGAAAAGAAGCTCGGGAGAGAGAGAGAGAGACAGGGAAAGAGACAGAGAAAGGGATAGAGACAGTGAGAATGTGTGTGTGGCCCAACACCTGCCAACACCACACCAAGCAACCAAAAACATAACGAAATGAATTAGGGGCAAAGTTGTAATTTCACACGTACGTTAACATGAATTTTGGGACGGGCCGTCACACCTCCACTGTTGGATTACGATCGAACAGTGGTTGACCATAATTTTCTTACACCATGGTGTCTAGGAGAATGGGACTCATATTAATATTTCTAGCCTGTACCTCTTAAATTCAGATATGATTCTTCAATTTTCTTCAATTTGTTGACAACAACATCCATAAGCATCCGCTCTGACAGTGATATCGCAGAGCATGAGAGTCCAATTTGCATCATCAAAACCGAGCATTCCTTCAACCTTCTTGCATGAACTGGGATTTGATCACCATGTGCATCTTCACATTCAATCAGCAATGAAGGGTCAACTATGTCCATGACATGGTCAGGCATCGCCATCGTCGCGAACTAGTGAATGCTTAGACCACCTTTGAACATGTCATTTGTAGGTTGTCTTCATGTGAATATTTCTAGCAACAATAGTCCAAAGCTGTAAATATCTCCAAAGATGGAAACTTGGCCTCCCATGCCATACTCTGCCATTTAATACATGCATTAGGACTTAATTTGGCCTAGTGATAAGTTATTAGGAAAAGAAAACATTGGAAGTGAGAGAAACTTATACCTGGAGGAATGTAGCCTTCGAACCCTTTAACCCGGTTGACATGGTTTGATTTTGAGAGGGATCATCGAACTCCTCCAAGATGAACCTTGCTAAACCAAAGTCACCAACGTAAGTCACCGACGTGAGCCACCATATCTTCGTTAAGAAGAACATTCCCTGGCTTCATATCACAATGAACAATTGAAGTTCCACAACGATGGTGGATATAATCCAATGCAGAAGCAACTTCAATTGCAATATTGCATTTTTGGATAAGGCTCAATCTCTTGCTTCGAGATTGCTCATCATCTCTTAGATGCAGCCAGGCATCTAGGCTTCCATTCACCATATACTCAAAAACTAGACTTTTGAAATCTTGGCCCTGATTGTCAATGCTTGAGCATGCAGTTATGATCCTGAGAAGATCAATGTGCCTTATGCTTCTTAAAGCTTTGCATTTGTCCATAAAACTCTTGGATGCTCGTTGTTGAAGAAGGTTTAATACCTTTATTGCAACTAGAGTTCCATCACTGGGGAGTACTCCTTTGTAAACAGAACCAAAATTTCTTGAACCAATCAGATTTCCCTAGAGAACCCAGTTAGTTGATTCAACAAGTTTTGAGTAAGAGGCTTCTAATTTCCAATCCTTATAAGGACATGAAGTTGTAGGTAGACCTTTTCGCTTTTTAAGCATTGAGTAGGCGACAATGAAGCCAAACATAGCAATTAAGAAGGCAAGTGCACAAGTTACAGGGATGACTACATTTCGGGCAAGTAGTCCTCAAGATGAATGAGGCTTTATGTTGGGGCATGCAAGTAAATGTAATTTTGAGTTGCCAGCACAGAGCTTAGGATTTCCAAGAATTGAGAAACCAGGTACATTTGAAAAGATTCCGGCTTCAGTTATTTTACCCTCAAAATTGTTATATGAAGGGTTAAGATGGGTAAGAAATTTAAACTTGCTTAGAAATTCAAGAATTTGCCCAGATAAGTTATTACGTGAAAGATCCATATCTTCCAGGCTTTTTAAACTTTTAAGAGATTGAGGAATTATTCTTTGAAACTCATTACTTTCCAAATTCAAGCGCACCAACAGAATACAACTGCCAAGGCTTGTGGGAATTTCAGCTGATAAATTGTTTCTTGATAAATCTAGCTCTACTAGATTTACCAAAAGACCAACTTCAGACGGCAGCGAACCAGTCAAATGATTGTCATACATTCTCAAATAAATTGAAAGGGATGAAAGCCCAAAGACCTCTATAGGTATGGTGCATGTTAGATTGTTATCAGAAAGTGTTGGAAATGTGCCCTAAAACCAATCATATGATGATACTTTACGGACATTTCAAACTAATGTAGTTTAAATGTAAAGGGCAAAGATTATTGTTTGAGCCGTCTCATATAAATGTTATATGCTTAAACGATAAGTCCAAGGAATATGTGATTGGAAGAATGCGATCTAAAGAAGTTAGATTCATGAGACCATTCTTTCGTTGACACATCCTAAACGTTCCTGATCATAGGATTGTCAATTGGGCATTGACAGTCCGTTAAGATCAGTACGTGCTATGTCTTCTCTCAGGGAGAGTAACTAGTCTCGAGTCATTGGTGTGTGTGACATCAAGACAAGTACGTAGGTGCTCAATAGAGAATGAGTTCACTGAACACGATCAACGAAGAGTTCTCATATTCATGTCACATGAGAACTCATGGTTGGGATAATGCAAATTAGTCTTTTGACCTGAGGCATCACAGTTGTCTTGTGGTTAGGTCCTTAATCTTTGATTATGTCAAAGTCACTCCATCAGGAGGGTGTCCATGGCATCGTTGGGGTTAAGCCACTTAGCCATGGAGGCAAGTGAATGCGCAACAAGGGATCTCTAACCTTCAAACTGTTTGAGGGAGAATACTCTATGATATGATTAAGAATCTTTGGCCAAAGTATGAATGAGATTTAGGAATGTGTTCCAAATCACATTCAAGGTAATCATATAAGCACAAGACTCACATTGGATAATAGACATGAATAAACTATCAAACCAAACAATGTGGTCAAGAGTATTGTATTAGAGAAAGACCGTATTGCATTTGTAATCCTAAAACTGAATAGGTTCTCCACCTCTTCTGATTAGCTTGGGTAACCATGACATGCTGCTAGGCGTCAACCATGGTTTGTGGAAGCCCTAAAAGTGTATTATCACTAACGGGAGAATTGAAAGTAAGTTTCAATTCACAATCGATTTGAAAGAGTTTGAATCGCCCACTGCCTCGCTAAAAAGAACCTAATGGATCGTACACTGAGTAAGAATAATTAAATGGTTTAATTATTTATGGCAAGGATTAATTAATATGATTATTAATCAAACGAATAAGTTCGCTGAAGACCTCGGGATAGTTTTGGACCTTAAGGCCCAATGGGCTTCGAACGTCAAGTCCATTGACTTAAGTTGTATGACAACTTAATGAATAATGATTCACAAAGACCCAAATAGCCCAATGAATACCCTAAGGCCGGCCATTTAGAGAAAGAGTGGGTTTTGACTTATTTACAAGTTTGCCACTCAAATGAATTAAGGTATAAGTGTGACTTAATAGCCAAAATTCATTAAGGGTTGTTTTTGGGGAAATTGGAAAAACACAAACTCTCCTTTCTCTCTAGAAATGGCCGGCCACCCTTGAGAAAAACATCTAGCAATCTTACTTCCTCAAGGTCACTCATTTCTTCTCCAATCTTACCTTGGTGTGGAGACTTAGAGGTTCTCAATTTTGGGAACTTGGAGAAACCTTTTCATCCATCAAAATCCATGGATCTAAGATGCAAGGAATGAAGGCCCTCTCTTTGGGTGATTAGCATTTGCTTATGCAAAGAGGAATCTACAAAGGTATTGATTTCTCAACTCACTTTGTTTTGAGTTGAGTCTTGGTTCACCTATCTACTAGGCTTTGAAGTTCATGGGTTAAGTTTTGTTTTTGAGTGCATATAAACATGATTCCGCCTTTTAATTGTTAATTGCATGTTGTAATGTTGCTCAAATGAACTTGTTTTTCACAAATTTTCCTTCAGAAAGGTCAAGCTCTAGTAGATGTTGGCAGTCTCCTAGACTTGGTGGTATATTTCCCACAAATCTATTGATGATTAGATAAAGTTCTTCTATCAATGAAGTCAAGTTACCTAGGGACGACGACATTGGCCCAGAAAGATTGTTGTCACCCAAAGATATTTTTTCCAACTTCTGAAGCCTCCCAATTTCTTTAGGGAAACTACCACTGAAATAGTTATCCTCCATTCCAATAAAGACCAAGTTTACAAGATTTCCAATACTGTAGAATTTTTCAAGTCGACGAGCCGAGGGCCCACTCCAACAACACCGATATTGTCCCCACTTAACCACTTGCACAATCCTCAAGTGTAAGGTTTTATCACAAAAGGCCTCGGTGTTAGTTAGAGTGAGGTAATCCTATTTAAATGGCTTTTTCTCCTTCCCTCCTGGCCAATGTAGGATAGATGTTTCCAACATTTCCCTGCATGTGAGACCCCATTTTATGGGTCACACATGGAGATCCACACATCAGCAACCACGTGGAGCCATGTTGGGGCTCATCGATCGAGCGGGGCCAAATGGGGACCCATCTAATCACATGGCATCTTTGGCCTACGTGGAGCCATGTCGGGCCTCACCCAATCGAGCGGGGCCAATGGGGACCCACCCAATCATGTGGCACTACGGGCCCGTCCCTTAACTCTGATACCATGTAGATTTTCTAGATTTGAGATTCAATGTGTTTTATTATATTCAAATGTACAAGTGACAAGGTATATATGAGACATGAAAGGGAGGAGAAGCAGCTAACTAGAAGGAAGAAAAGAAGGTTGTTTATCACAGCTAACTAGGGCTCACCTACTTAACACAATCAGTCATCTTCCTTAGATCAAGGAAAAGCTTTATCTACTTTACACTAATAAATCACTTCTCTTAAATTAAGGAAAAGCTGATTTACAACAATATGGCCTTAAGCTTACCCCAGAGATACTACCCATGGTAGCTGACCCTAGAAGCTAACCCTAAACCCATCAAGACACACTTCATTCCTTCAACGTATGCCAAGCTCAATTCAGTACTAGAGAAAGCTGGATTTGTTCGAAGTAATGCTGATTCCTCACTGTTTGTAAGAATGGGTACCCACTACAAAAAAAGTAGTCATTACCAACGAAGATTTTCCGAGGGCCTAAAAAAACAGTCGTAAAAAGCACATTTTGTGACCATAAAATATGAGTTGTCGGTAACATGGCATGAAACAAATTTTTATTACCAACGCACATGATGTCCTCGGAAAAAGTCTCAAGTTTCGTTGGAATTGTACTTTTGTTTGGCAAGAAGAATTGGCGCCAGTTATATTAACGACAAGTAAAGTTCTTATCGAAAATAGAATGGTTATTTTCGAAGGTTTACTCATGTTGACGAAATTGATTTAGTATTATTGAGGGAAAAAAAGTCCTCTTGGTAATGTTTTCATATTTTCGAGAGAAAAAAGTCCTCTCGGTATTGCTTTTATATTTGCAAGGGTGATTAGTTGTTGTCGGATGTAATCATATTTTTTCCGACAAAAATTTTTCTTTGTTAGAATAAATTTTAAGGCATATGGTTTTGTTGGAATCAATTATTTACTAAAGGTCACATGTGTCGTTTGAATATTCTTGAAATAAATTTGATGCTTAATTTAATCATATAGCTTAGAATACATATGGAGAAAATTGGACCATAAAATTAAAAAAATAAAACTATTGAGCAAAAAGGTGTATAACTTAATATAGTATTCTATGATAAAGAAATAATTTGCATGCCCTTGTTAAATCATAACATTTGTCATGGACATTGAACAAAGTATAACCACATCACTTCCACAACTAAATTTTCAGTCAAAAAAAAAAAAAAAAAACCACACACACACACAATCACAATGAGAGCTTATCCCACAATTTCATCATCTTCGTCATCATTTTGGTTGGCTTGAATACCCCCATGCGCCTCTTCTTCTTGGTATGGCTCATCATCATCATCAACATTAGGCATCTCATAAACATTTCTAGGCTTTGTTTCCACCACATAACTCCAAGCCTTATTTTTAATCTCTCTCACATAAAAAGCTTGGGTTGCTTGGTTTGCCAGGACAAATGGCCTCTTTAGTATTCAACTTGCAAGTTGTATTAATACTAATTATTCCATAACAATCTATCTTATAGCCTGTTTCTTTTCACACAATGTCATACCACTCACAATTGAACGATACAACTTTATTGCCTTCTGTGTAACGAAGCTCAACCACGTCTTTTAATACTCCATACCAAGGCACACTATCAATCTGATTCTCCCCCTTAACCATAACTCCACAATTTTGTGTTTTTTTTATTCTCATCATGTTGTAATGCATGAAACCTAAACCCACTAATATAGTTATTAGGCTAATATTTTACTCGCCTTTCCAGATCGAGAGCCAACGAAAGCATTTGCTCATCAACTTTGTGATGCGAGAATTACTTGACACTCAAATTAAACCCTCGTTTGACAATTGTAGTAGAATGGATAAGTGAGGGATCGTTCTAGACCGGGGATTAGGAGGGCTTGCTAAAACCTTCTAAATTGACTTAAAAACGTAAAAACAATATAAAACACTAAACTAGACTCAAAGAATGTGAAACTAAACGTTAAAACACTAAGACAAACCAAAAGAATCAAAATGCTTTAAAAACACAAACTAAATTGATTTCTAACTATATTGAACATTAAAGCAAAAGGGGGATTGAGGTTTGACGAAAATTGAAATAACGAAACAAGTTAATAACTAGACAGAATGTAAATATGAAATTGATGAAATAAGATGGTTGGTGAATTAGCTAGAGGTTCTTTCTCCACACATGATGTTTATGCATATGAATCAATTTCCAGTTATTCCTTCATTGAATTATGAACGACAATGCCCCAAATTAACCGTGACATCACTAGTTAATCCTTAGATTTTCCTTATATTATTGGATTGGATGGCATCATTCGACAACCCAAAACATTCTCAAAAGTTCCCTATATGTCATCATAATAGAGATACAATCGAAGATCATTAAGAAAAATGAAAACCATAAGCATTGACAAAGCATTTGCAACTATGACATCATGTTACTCATGCTAAGAATTAAACTTAACGCGATTGTGACAAGCGACCTTCACTACTTTCAAGTATAAGTTAGTAACGATTATGTGAAACCTTCTTAAACTTTAGCCACATATTCATGCATGCTAATTAAGTGTCGACCCTCAATCAACAAACACAAATAAGTTAATCATCAAATAGTAAAGCCAATTGCATTCACGAATCAAGAGTTCATAACCGGAATTCATCAATTCATATTACATAAATAATCATGGTATTGAAATCACCCCTAGCCAAAAAGGGTTTAGTTCCTCATAACTTTGAAATCAAAGAAACACCTAAACATTCCAACAACTCAATCTTGAATTGTATGAACGTTTAGGCACTCTTCTCTTCCATTCCTCATATTACAAAACAAAGAGAATTGAATTTAAACATTGAAATCAAAGAAACGCGTAAACATTCCAACAACTCAAACGTGAATTGTATGAACGTTTAGGCCCTCTTATCTTCCTCTTTATTGTGGCACAAGGACTAAGGGATGTTGTTGGTGTGTTGAATGGATTGGGGGATTATGGAAATGGATGAGGAGTGGTGGAGAAAATGGTGCAGAAAATGGAGAGACACTCACGGCTAAGGAAGAAAATGGAAGTGTTTGTGGTATGTTGTGTTGTGAATGAGATGAGATGGTCCTTGAATGAATGAATGCAAGGGTATTTATAGGAGTAGTGGAGGGAACATGACAGCTAGGAGGTGGGTGGAAATGTGGCTGCAAGGTGAATGAATGATTATGAGTGAATGCATGTGATAGTGGCTGATTTGGAAAGCTGAAATTGTGATGGGAAAGCCACGGCAAAGGGACGAATTTCTGTGGCTGCATGTTTAGGTTTGTTTAAGGGTGCATGTGGGTGAATATTAAGTTGGAAATGCATGTGCAATTGCATGTGTGTGAGCTGGAAATGGGATGGTAGCCACGGCAAAGGGAAATGAGTGATGGGTTGAATGTGTTGGCAAGGCTTGTGGAATTGTGTGAAGTGTGTGTGAATTAAAGAATGAATGGTGGTGTAATGATGAAGAATAAAGGGTGCAAAGTGAATGAATAATGAAATGGGAAAGCATGACCAAGGTGGAAATGCATGTGAAATGTTGGAAAGGAATTGGGAATATGAGTAGGCCACGGCATGGAGTGTTTGTTTGATGATGATGCATGTGATGGGTGGAAACAAAGGGGGAAACATGGCACAAGGGTGCTTGAGTGAATGATTGAATGTGCATGTGGATTTAAAGAATGAGTGGTGGTGTAATGATGAAGTGAATGCATGTGGAATTGCAAGGAGTGCACGACATGGATGGTGTTTTGTGCATGTGGCTGCAATGGTGTGTAATGATGGAGGAATAAGTGCATGTGGTTGAATTGGTGGTGAATGTGCATGATAAAGAATGGATTGGGCTGCAATGGTGTGTAATTGGGCTAGGGTTTAAGTGCATGAAATGGACCCAAATTGCTCCCCCTTGCATGGCAAGGAATGGTGTTTGTGTTAAGCCCATGGCAATGTGATTGTAATTGGGTTAGGGCCATTGTTTTGTGTCCTCAAGTGCATACAAGGCCTTCAATTTCATCCAACACTTGGGCTCCAAGAATAAGCTATCCATCCTTAGCCCAATAGTGCTCCAAAAAGGCCCCAAAACACTCCATAATGCATCCTTTCGTCAAACACGTCTTATAATCCTGAAAACACACAAAAGAAGCATAAAGAACTAAAATAACTAAAGAAACATAACGTAAATGTACGAGAACAAGCTAAGTAAGTCGCCTAAATATGCTCCTATCACTTTGTTACCATAGTATAGTTGTTTGATCTGCATATATGGAAATAAAAGTATTGTAGAAACAATATATCTAATAATCAACAGTTTTCACATAAATATTATACATACCCTCTCATGAAACCAATTTGAAAATTGAAGCCTATCTGACTCCTTCATATTTCTAACACCAGAATGCATTAGAATATTCTTATGTTCTCTGCGCATATAACAAGAAGTTAGTTAAATTAATATATTAAAATATTGTAATACTAAATATAAGTAGTAAAAGATCGAATGTTGAAAGTTCATTTGGTATGAGAGATTTCTTACTGAATAAAAGGTAGACATTCATCACAATTTTGTAGGACATAAAACTTGGCAGCCTCAAGGAGTTCGATACTCATCTCTTCAAGTACACCTTTCCCAAAAGATTTACCTGGTGTTGAAAAAATAGGTAATTGAGATGTATCAGATAACGATTGACCTCTATCATCATTTCTATCCCTTTGATTAAACTTAGTTTCAACTCGATGCAAATAACGAGAAATACTACGTTCTCCAGCAGCCACACATCGAGATAAATTTCCAGAGTATCCATCTAAAACTTGTAATTCAAATAACCATTTACATAAAACTCTATTATCATCATCTGACAACGTATAGTCACCTGGGAGAAAATCAAGCTTACCATCTTCTCTTACTTTTGGATGATATCTTTCCCTTATACCCATTTCGCGAAGATCAAGGCGAGCATTTAAAGAATCATTTGTCTTACCATCAATGCTCATCATTGTGCCAATCACTCTCTCAAATACATTTTTCTCGATGTGCATAACATCTAAGTTGTGATGCACCAAAAGTATATTGTGCTCTTGATTAGATTAGGGTTGCATCCATGCCATTTTTTATATTAATGCCTCCACCCTTCAAAGGAGGCAACAAAAACTCTCCATAATCAATATTCGGAGTAACCGTGAGCATACAGGTCACCTTAAAGTCATCTTGTTTGTCTAGTTTGTCCAGTTTAGGTTTTGTGACAATGAGTTCTCCTTATGCCAATTTTAAATTTAGGGTTTATGTATATATTAAATTTCAATTATTCATTTTTCATGGCTGCTGCGATTTTCTAACAATTAGGGTTTATGTATATATTTTGCCTTTTATTTTAGCTTTCATGGTTTCATTTTTTTCATTTGTCTATATTGGCATCTAATTTTCTTGTATTTGTATGATTGATAGATATGGCAAAAAAAGGAAGGAGCCAAAAAAATTCATCAGGCACACGTTGTCTGTCATTTAGACTCTCTTTAAACCAACATGATACCACCACTGAACTACATAACAATGAAATGCAAGAGACCCAACATGCAAATATACAAGGTATTTTTATATGTGGATTTTTAATTTATATGTACAAAAAGAAAAGCTACAATGGGATTTTGTCTTTGCCTAATCAAGTATGGGTTCTTGGCCATCGGAAATTATTTTTGACTTTGTCTGAACTACATGTTAGTTGCACTGGCATGGAAAAGAATAGTATAAGACCCATGGAATCATCCTAGAAACTTTTTTTTTTTGGCTGCAAATGTTGAGAGTAGGTTGAGGGCTACAATTTGATAGGAAAAGCTTAGGCTGGCCGTCGTTTGGTGCAAATAATTAAATTGGAATGTATAGTCTAACTTCAAAGTATACTTGAAGATAGAAGAGAGTGATATTTTGTTTGCTTAATTTCATGATTCAAAGGTTGTTGGTTGTTTTATAAACTTTGTCCTATGTTAAAAGAAACTAATTCTCTCATAATTATGTCTTATTTAGCTTTGTGTTTTCTTTGTAAAATTGTAGCCACGGCAACAAGAGAAATGAGTCAAAATAGAGCACTGCACACTACTACTCATTCAGCTACACCCTCTTCAGACCAACTTGGTGTTACCCAACCATCACATGGTAGCAAAATACATGAGACACAACAAACATCTATTGAGAATCAACCTTCAAGTGTCCAAGGTACCTTATTTATATCGATTTGAAAATGTGCATTTTTGTAATTGGTTATTTATTAAACATACAAGCACATTATTATTTTTATTGATTAGGTCCTACCAAAAAGAAAGGTAGAGGGAAGGCTCACGGTAAAAATGGGAATGGCATTCCGATTGTAATACATGATAGCAGGTAATGAGCACAAGTCATTGAAAGCATGATTGTCAAATAGTTAACTATTTAGATATGTGAGTGTTTTAATCTAATTTTAATTTCATAGGATTGTAACCACAAATGCTACGAGAACTATAGGGTGCTCTTTAATCAAGTTATTAAAGGGCATTGGATTACATTTAAAGATTATCCAAACAATTATGAAACCTTTTGTGAGTGTTAGAATATTTATAGTGGAGAAATAAAAAATTCAACAATTTAGGAAAGTGGTTTCTGCACATCCATTAATGACTTGGATGTGGAGCAGAGCCAAGACTAGTGCAATTGTTGGAGAGTGTTGCAGGTAGTCGTGAAGCCAGAAAATGCCGGAGGAGGAACAAATTCAAAAGAGTGCAAGGTTAACAAAAAGCCAACAATCAAATCATTTTAGCTAGTAAATAATATTAATGTCATCCACAATATATCAATACAAACAAGTTACAATTGTTGTCGGTGAAGTTTCATGTCATGAAACATTGCATAATAGATTCATTACCAATAAAAGCAAATACATCTTTCTCAATGTAAAGAACCATGCTACTACTCAATCATTAATCATCCATTTTGTTACTCAATGGTGTTTTCACAATCTTCCTAGCAGAAAAAACTTTCTTTAGTTGCATATCAAGGACTTGAAAATAGAGGTCCACACGATAGCAATGAAAGTTTGTGACTCTTGGAGCTTTACGCTTTGATTTTCTGTGTACGAATGCAAATACTCCATTTTAGGGACGATAATATTATTTTCCTCACAAAACTTTTGTACATCATGAAACAAGTCCCCAAAGTCATCATCTTTCAAGGATTGTCATCTTTGTTTGCATACTTCTACTAATGCCATCGCATTCACAATATCTTGATCTTTCTTTTGTAATGCTTGTGACAACTCATTTGTAATTTCCAAATATAAGTCTCATAAAAAGAGGTGAAACAGAGAATCAAAAGTTTGTATTTATTTGAATAACCTATTTGCTTCACCTAGAATATCTTGGAGACCATCACCTTTAATCCATTCAAGCACCTCCACCACGGCTTCAAACATAACAATAATACAAACTATAGTACCATGTCAGTCCAAATGTGTACCATAAGGATGAATGAGACTACTCTCTTGATTTAACCTTTTCCTGTTTCAAGATCACCAATATCAAGAGCATTCTTAATTTGTTCTTGTTATTTCTCAATAATTGCACCACGACACTTGCATGATAATCCTATAATATTCACCAAACTACTAGCAGTTAAGAAGAAAGTGGCAACATCCACATTTCCCTTGGATACGACTAGAAGAACTAGTTGAAGTTGGTGTACAAAATAATGAACATAAGATGCTTTGGGATATTTGTTTTAAATCTTTGTTTTAAGACCATTTAGCTCACGTCTCTTATTATTAGCTCCATTAGCTTTACCATAGCATTGTCCATCTAACTGGGACATACTCAAATTTGTTATTGACACACCCCAACTCAGAAACTCCACTTGGACCCTGAATCGAGCTGTGCTGGCCGACACTTGGAAGGTGACGAAGCCATAAAATGTGATAGTGTATAAAAAGTGAATAAATTTGAATCTAAAAGTGTCTAAGTACCAGAGTGCGCTGCGAGTGGGAGCAAACCCATTTCACACGCGATGTCAGAGCATAAGTAAGGTACAATAGTGTGGGTAAGAATCATACCCTCAGAATTATCCATCAATACTAAGATTCGCCACAAATTCTTGTCGATACAAACTCAACAGCTAAAACCTGGAGGGCACCAAACAGAAGGTGTGAGTAAGCAATAAAACCAAGCTTCCCAAAGTTATTTCCTCTCTAAAAGTAATGCCCCTAAATGTAAAACTCGTATCGTTTTCCATAAGACAGTACAACATATATACATATATCCAAACCATACTCAGAAATGACCAAAACCACGGTTTGCCATCGAATCCACCGTACATTAATAAGTAGGCCAAATGAACTAAATCAATACAAAGTGATATATCAGTCAGAGTTATCTAAAATGACTTGTACAACTTAACCGTATCTCATCAATCATGGCTAGCATATAAGTCGGAGTCACCTATAGTGACCTGTACGACTTATCCATATCTCGTCAATCCTGGCTAGCATATAAGTCGGAGTCACCTATGGTGACCTGTACGACTTATCCATATCTCATCAATCCTGGCTAGCATATAAGTCGGAGTCACCTATAGTGACCTGTACGACTTATCCATATCTCATCAATCATGGCTAGCCAATAGCTCAATAAGTATACATGCACACGAGTCGGAACCACCTAAAGTGGTCTGTACGACAGGACTGGGTGTAAATAAATACGCTCAAGTGCTACGATCACGTGAAGACTGGACGAATAATCGCAGGTCACCTACGAGTCGGAACCACCTAAAGTGGTCTGTACGACAAGACTGTGCACCTACCTTGAATCCAAGGTGAGCGTAAGGTGCGGGAGGTGAACATCACGTGAAGGACTGTGCCCTGGCCACGGGCGGGAGCACTAACACCGGGGTGCAGGTTTATGAGCTCTCAATGCGTCTCAATATAACATGTGGAACTCATGCCAACCACTACGACAGTATCGAAGTTGCCTAACACATAACTGTAGTCATGCTATAACGCAATCGATTCAACTAGTACCATAAACACACCTAAACTTACCTGGGTGTCCTGAGTTCACCTTTGCACTTGAAAGCATTCCCAATAATTATATGCAAGTAATATACATATGGATATACCATGATGCAATCTAATGCTCAACCATGTCGTAGCATGTTCAATTATAAACAATACAGTGAGAAGTGTACAATCAATAACGCCCTACTCCCAAACTACTTATTTTCAGGGATAATTATCCATGACAACCCAATTAACTCTAATTTAACCAACTAATTCACAAAACTAAAACTTGTCTTTACCAATTTCCTTCGCATTACTCAATTCCCCAAGCAAGGCTTTTGTCTCAAATATTTTATGGCTGCATCTAACGTCTCGTTAGACTGCCTACGTACCCTAAATAGGGATCAAGCCATTCATAGTTCATATAGGTACTTCAAGCATTCACAATAATTATATGAAGGTAATATACCTAATCAATTTAAAAGTGTCGATAGAACTCTCAATAAAATGCACAATAAAAAGGAAAAGATGTACTCACCTGGAGTCCACGCTATGATTCTCTAGCGCACGCATCGAGGCGTCCTGAATGATTGGTCCCTGTGACCAATTATCAAATCACATCTCAGAACTCTTATCCGTAGAATATGTAATTCACATAAAACACAACCTCAATGACATTCTAAAATAGTTTGATACCCATTGACCACAAGTCAACCGTCGATCAAAGATAGACGGTAGGGTTTACAACCCTGTATAACTTGACCCGGAAGATTCGCATATCAGATTTCCAATCCGTAACTCCCAACGATCCACAATATGTTTCTAGAATAACATATTAAAATTTTATTACGATCCAACGGTCAGATCTCCGCCAATTGCCTAAAACAAGTGGCCGTGAACATTTATTTTACTAACTTACAAATCCAATTCAGGAAGATCCGTAAGTCGGATTCCCGATCCGTAAATTCCTATGATCTTTAA